GCTCTCTATGGACAACTAATAGAAAGTGAACCACTGCTAAATATTATTATCAACAGTCACGCACGTCTGTCAAACTATTGGCCGATTATGTAGAGACAGAGGCACAGATAGACGGACGGGGAGAGACAGGATCAGGGCGAGGGGAAGAGAGAGAGGGACAGGGCGACCGACAGAGAGTGCGGGAGAGAGAGCAAAACAGAGAGCGACAGAGCGAGAGGGAGGCAGAGAGACAGAGGGAAATGCAGAAGAACACAGATGGAGAGAGCGCGTGCGCGCCACACAGAAACACACAGCTGTGCTGTGCCCCATGCGGTACTTAACCAACACACATCGTAGAGAAGATGCGTACACAAACAAGTGTGTCTTGGCATACTAGGCAATGTATTTTGTGTGCGTGCGTTCAGCCTACGACGAACGAGCGCTACGCCCAGCGACCCGTACGACCAGCGACGCGTTCGACGCTTGTCTCTATGCACCGCTATCGCATGTCTCGTCTCATCAAACACTTCTTACACAATTGTTGTCCCTCAGACATTATGGCATCGTTATTACTGCGTTTTGCCTCGGCTCGGCGGTGCCAGTGCGGGGATTGGCGCGAGCGACGCCCGTGCGCATAATTACTTGGGAGGAAAGCCTAGGGTGTCTCGGTAAAAGTTCTGCAACCTCATAACTTATGTCAAGGAGCACAGCAGGGACACCTATTCTATCTGGATATGCCTGAATGCCAAACTGTTGTTCTCACCTTGCGTAGAGAAACGTATAGGAGGCAAGGAGAAGCATTGCGCATATTTCATTTGCGCGTGAATGCGAACACATCCACATGTGTCATAAAAACAAGAAAACATGTACTTCTCGAAAATGTAGGCAGTGTATACAGACAGCACCACTGCGTGTGTACTGTACGACAGTACTTGTTTAACTCGTGTATGGTTGACGCAAGGCTCAATGCAATGATTTCGACGTCAATGCTACTACATGAACAGCATAAGGCGATTTGGTCGTGTGTCAATGACATGTTGTCATAACGTCTCGACGGTCAATTAGAATCTGATTTGTTACCAATTGTTATCTTGTTGCTCTTGCAATTCTGTCTGCTGCATACTTCAATGATATTGCAAATCGCTCTATACTGCGCATACTCGCCTTTACCAGCCATGACAGTGTCACGTTCACACAAACAAAAGCCCGGCTATGGTTTCCACAATGTACATGACCAATGCATATAGTAGCTGTCTGGAATGCTCCTAGTCATTCATAGTAGTAATAGTGGAGCCCAACAGGAACATTGCGTAAAAATGAACAATAACATTCCACACAATATGGATATTTAGAAATGAGTGTCATAAGATAATAACCATCGCACACAGCTCTTACGATTACCCTTCGTGCCGCAGTTAGCAGCACCATGCGGCACATACAGCCTATCAGCTGCAGTAGCTCATACGGCAAGGAGCGCATGTGTGACAGTTGTGAAGGCATCGGGGCGAATACATCAATGCACACCGGTGCTCGCTATACCTCTGAATGTTTAAAGCAACAGTACCAGTCAATGGAAACGACACATTTGTATAGACTTTCATTAAACGTTGCAACTCCGTAGAACGTCACATGACATGTGCAGCGACTATATTCCTTTCAAAGCGACTATATTAGTTGGTCGGGCAGTATCCACAGACGCGCACCGATTCCGCTACATATTTATTCAGTACGACTTTTTGCGACGCCACAACAGCCCTGTATAGCTATAAAGTATTTCGATATATATATTTATGACATATTTATACATATTATGATTGCGATGGCGCCACACCAAACTCGCCGCTCCAGAGTTCGGGGTCACTTCTTATTAAGGCACATTTATGTACAGCAATCAATATGAAATGCACGTTATGTATACGTCGACATCATTCATCATCATTCCATCTTCATCATGCCCGCGTAGATGCGCGTACTTCATTTGCGCAGTTCAAAGCAATGGTCAGCATTTTCAGTGTGAAATCTCAAAACCACTTAATTGGCACTGTCAGGTGTCAACACTAGCTCCCCTAATGCCCCCCCCCCCGCTTCTGAAATGTGTAGAGGTAGGCCTATTCTGAATTGACAGTGATAATGAAGTAGTGTGAATAACACAATAATCATTGCAAGTATAGATTATTTACTAGCATACATTTTAGCGGCGTGTGAGTAACACAGTATCATTAGTATTTTAGTATATACGTCATATAGTTGTCATTTCGAAATATTCCTATCATGAGGTGATCGTCAACCGACGCTTGTGTTAGGAATATTTGACGTGGCCACACGACAATCATAATACCGCAGCGCGAGCGAGAGGCGACTGAGGGGCGGCGTGATGATGAAATGATATGGTCGAAAGACCTCGTCCAATATGCAGTGCTTAGTCGTCAGGTCATGTGAAGTGACGCAAACGTGTAAGTGAATTTCAGCTTCATTAATCCGACGTCAAACGGCCTCGCTAGCGTACGGGAACGTTGGTGTATAACGTTATCCAAACCAAAACATAACCTTCAAATAACGTTATGTGAACGTTTTTGTGTTAGCTGGGATGGAATACGACCGTAATTGCTTAACAAATGTCGAAGACAGAAATGACTGAAAATGCTTGGCACGTGTACCATTTCCCTGCTATACGTTGTCATAGTCAAGGATTAGCAGAAATCATTGAAGATTTCCTCACGAGAAAACGCCTAAGTTCCTTCCTAACTTACGCTGATATGGTCTATGTCCCCCAGGGTACTGCCGGAACGTACCCTGGGTACGGTGCGGTATACCAGAACGTACCCTGGTACTAAATACTACTATCTAATATGCCGGACCGTACCTCGCCTACTCCACTAACGAGTCTAGGAAGTCGCCTACACCTACTCGCTAACCCTAACCCTAACCCTAACCCTAACCATAACCCTAACTATAACCCTAACCCTAACCCTAACCCTAACAATAACTCTAACGATATCAACTAGATAGTTACCAGAGTACGTTCCTGTATACCAGACCGTACCCTGGTTACGTTCCGGCAGTACCGTGGGCGACATAGACCCTATGAGCCTAACTTACGTGCTTCATTCATCCATCAAGAAGCATGTCTTCAAAATGCTGCATTATATCAACAGCGTAAAAAGAAGGAGAGCTTACAACGGTTAAATGGTGGAACCATGTTGCAGTAATAGTCGAATGAATACACTTTCCCCGTTTCATTTTTACGATTCTTTGCAGTATTATTGATGACTTCATACCTTGTTCATTATTATAAAACAAACCGCATGTCCCTACGATTGCCCTACGCTGTCATAATGACGGGTGAAATCAGGGGCCCGTTGTGAGAAATACAATTTCTTAACGTCTTTCTAACGAATTCTAACGAAATTCTAACGAAATTCTAACGAAATAAATAGTCTTAACGAACAATTTCTGCTAGACCGTCGACATAACCTTGTATGGTATTGTTATGAGGAAATCTGCTACGATTTCGCATTATCGTAACTTGGCCACGTTTCTGTCAACGGTGTAAGAGAAAAAGTCAATGTTAACACTAATGTTAACACCAATTTCGTTTCTGACAACGGGCCCCTGGTATTTCCGCCGAAAAATTACTCGAGATCAATCAGTTATTGTGACCAAAGATCGTATAGTGCCGGAGGCACAAGATAAACCACTCTCCAATCATAGCGTAGTAGGTCATGGGTCGCCACAACCGCCATTTTAGGAAGCAAGTTCACACGAAGTTCCCGGATGCTGCTGTATCTGCTACTGTGCAACAGTTACTGTCTGCTGTCTGCAGTTACTGTCTGCTGTGTGCTGTCAGCTGAGCTTACTGTTCTGCTGTAAATTGCTCGAATCGTCAGTGTCAGCCCGACCTGTCTTTCTCCACTTGTGTAACGATGCCAAGAAAAATTATGAGCGAGGTCTTGTTGATGTATTCAAGAGCAACCCCAAGAAGTTTTATGGTTACGTGCGCGAGAAACAGAAGGTCAAAGCTGGAATAACTCGATTAGCCAAAGGAGAAGGTATGTCAACAGACAACGACCAAGAAGCAGCATCATTACTGAACAACTACTTCAAGTCGGTGTTTGTAACGGAGCCAGTGGGTAACATCCCGAATTTTGTAGACAGAGTGCAACCTGGTACAAGCTTGGACAGTATTGAGATTACAGCTGCACAAGTGGAAAAGAAGCTAAGACAACTGAAGCCAGGCAAGTCACCAGGACCTGATGGAATACACCCGAAACTGCTAAAAGAATGTGCTGATGGACTTGCATTGCCACTCACATTAATATTCCAAAAATCCTTTCAGGAAGGGTCCCTACCATTATCGAGGAAAAAAGCGCAGGTTTCTCCCATCTTCAAAAAAGGGAGTAGGATGGCTGCTGAGAACTACAGACCAGTTTCACTGACATGTGTGTGTTGTAAGGTCATGGAACACATTGCGTGATGAAGTAGTAAATTCATTGGATGAGAACAAATTGTTTACAGAACACCAACATGGATTTACGTTCGAGGAGAAGTGTCTGACTAATCTCCTAGAGACATTGAGGCTTGGAGTAAGGCCCATTGACAATGGAAATTGCATCGACACCATCTTTTTAGACTATCAGAAAGCATTTGACACGGTTCCGCACATGAGGCTATGAAGAAATTGAAAGCGTATGGTATAAGAGGAACACATCGATAAACTGGATTGAAAGCTTCCTTGTGGGGCGCCAGATGAGGGTGAGCGTTCGAGGACGGTTACTCGAAGGTGCTTCAGTATCACGGGTTCGCAAGGATCGGTCCTAGGACCACTACTGTTCCTGGTATATGTAAATGATATCCCGGACATAGTAAATTGTGATATGAAATTGTTTGCGGATGATACTAAAATTTGGAAATCTATATCGACAACAACGACTGCCATCTACTGCCAGCATGACCTAAATATTAGATAGTATGTGAAATGGTGCAGTATGGAATATGGCCTATATCAACGTTTCACGTCGGGAAGTGCAAAATTAACGGATGCATTTAGGAGGAAATAACGAACAGTTCGAGTACTTAATGACCGATGAGGCTGGGACAAGAAGAGTGTTAGATGAGATCACTGAAGAAAAAGATCTTGGGATATGGATAAACAGCGACCTGAAACCCACTCTACAGTGTACCAGAGCAGCAAACAAAGCGATGGGGGTACTGAGATCGATCAAGAAAACATTCAAGTACATAGATAAAAGGTGTTTCCTTATCTTGTACAAGACGTTCATCAGACCCCACCTAGAGTACTGTGTGCAAGCCTGGTCACCATACTATAAGAAAGATATGGACCTGTTAGAAAAAGTGCAAAGGAGGGCAACCAAGCTAGTCCACTCTATACGTAACCTGGAATACGAGAGGAGACTGGAAATCCTAGGTCTATATTCACTGGAACAGAGGAGAGAGAGGGGAGACCTGATCGAAACTTACAAAATTTTAACAGACAAAGAAAACATAAATAGCAACCAATTCTTCACACTGGCAACTGGAACCACCAGGGGGAATCCCCTGAAACTATTCAAAAATAGATCCAGGCTGCAATTGCGACAGCACTTCTTCAGCCAAAGAGTGGTGAATGCGTGGAACGCACTGCCAACATTTGTAGTTGAGGCCAAGACGGTCAACTGCTTTAAAAACAAACTAGACTTACATTGGACAGATATGGGTATAATAATAGGCCAGGCTTAAACTCAACCCATCTAACCTTAACTAACTAACTAAGGTTCCCCAAGAATACGAAAAGGTGAGAAAACATTCTTTTTGGTCGAAATCCATCGTGAAAGACTTGTGCAATCTTCGTTGATACATGTAGTAGCAGTGGCAGTGTTGTTTGTGCACAGGGCGTACGTGCGGTGTACTTCACTACTTGTGTGTTGCAGATGAGCATTTAAACGGCATTTACAGCATTCTCGACAATAATAGGCCAAATAGAGTAGAGAAACATTAATACTTTAATAGTAGATACATTTAGTGTTTATTTACCATTATTTGTTTGAGATGGTCCAATGAAGTGCCTGTGCACTGTACCACTGTCTGACACTACACCACTGCACTGTGTACATACTATTACTACATAGTAACATCCGATTATGAATCATTGTTAGATTTTTGTACACTTGAATGAGAGATTCGATACAGCTATTGGCATAAAAATATTATCTATTACATTATATTAGAATATATATATATATATATATATTAACCATGGTTATCCATATTATTTCTATGTATCAAACAGACGCGGAGCGGGTTTTCCTTCCTAAAATGGCGGACGTGGCGCTCCATTGCGTACTACACGTCATTGCACGTGATTTCGCATGAGTGGTTTATCTTGTGCCTCCGGCACTATACGATCTTTGATTGTGACTGTCTCTCGAAGTGTTCTAACGTCAACGTCGCGTGTTTCCGTCAATGATTGACAAATGGAATGAATCACGTGTGTTATTCATAGCTATAGTGATGACCCCCACCTGTGACGACCTTACGCCCACCTCACGCTCCATGTATAGTAAACTGTCGTGGTATGAGACCATATCATTGACCCCATTGATATGCTCTCATTTATATGCTGTTATATGCTGTGATTTATATCGTCTGGTACTATGACGTCAGTCAGCGCCACTATAGTCTATGGCGCTACACAGTGGCTAGCGGAAGCAACAGACTGCGCATTTCAACTTCTATGTTCGATGTTCTACTGTTGATGCTATGTGACGTGTTAACCTGTATGGTACAGGCGGTATGTTTCGCTTCACTACACCGCCTGTACGCGAGCTCAACCCTGGCGTTTCGCAAGCCTCGTTATCGATCAGGCAACTTGAATAACTGGAGAAATGACGTCAGCAAAAGCCTGCTCGCTGATTGCCTGATTGGCCGTTACAGCTCTCTGATTGCGGCGCCAATCATTTCTTGTTTCGCGAGGCGGGCTGAAGAAGCAGAGTGTAACAGTGGTGAAGTGTAGTGAACGGAGAACCGAACCGCCTGTGATCATACAGGTTAGTTGTGAACGTGGTACGTAATCGTCATTTCTTGAACTTCGAAGTAGACCGACGCAAGTTAGTACCATTATGAAGATTTACAAGCTAACTAGTTTGTAGACTTTAACTTACATTAATGTTCGTCCGGGTAGTTAGTAGTAGTAGTACTTCAGAGGCGTCTACTGTCCCCGGGTACTGCCGGAACGGCTACCTGGTACGGTCCGTGTATACCGAGACACGCTACCTGCTTACTATCTAAATATGCCGAACCGTACCGTTCGGCTACTCACATAACCAGATGAGACGGGATACTACAGAAAGCGTTGCGGAAAGGAGGCGTGTTGAATCCAAGCCGCTATAAGCGCAATGTTGAGCGCAGTTCCGCGGCCAAGGCGCACGCCGACGCTGCGGCAAAACGTTCGTCTGCACCGACTATTGCACTGTCGGCCAAGCTATCGGATCGTGCGCCGAATAGCAATAGGGCCGGCGACGGTCATCCATAGCTGCCAGCGAAGTAGTCGACAAGTTTAGCGCCAATAGAATGAAGCCCGCCCTTCAGGTGCAATTGAGGTGTTCTCTTGCAGCTAATTAATTTGTAACTTCATTGCAAATATCCGCAGAACTGGTCTCTGTGTCGCCGCGCCTGTCTATGTGTGCACACTATGCTCTGTGTTGCAAATGCTTCACAGTACCAGATACTTCTAACTTGAACACCAGGGCCTTTGTGCTAAGGTTGCGCTGAGTTTCAATTTACTTGATTACGGCCTAATTGCACCAGAAGCCGCTGAACAGTAACAATGCTAACTTGTTACAAGGCAAATATAGCATGGCCTCAAGAGCGGGTCATTAACAGTGAAAGCGGTTACAAGAAATGGAAGTCACGTACTCAGTACGCCTGTATGTCCCCAACGACAACTATGCAAAACAGTTAAAATACATTAAGCAATAATAGCATAATAACAATAACAGTCCATAATATCATAGGAATCAGTAGAAATAATGAAAAATAATTGTAGTCACAGAACAATAGCAGCGGCGAGTTAGGAGTCGTCGCTTGATAACGCATTTTTTTGGACACTTCCGTGTAACTCACAGATCATGTTTTATGCCGGTTTGAAATGAACAAACAACACCCTCACCAGTACCCCGTGTCGAAGTTTAAAAGGGGGACTACCCCACATTTAAGGAAATGAATTAGGGTTTCAAATGGCTACATCTTCTCGTATTCTGAACCGAGATAGTAACAAAACGCGCTTCAAAATAAACCACTGAACTTCTCATATTTACCGTAGACCTCACTAATGTTGCTAATCGCTTACTATAACGCCGAATTATTCTGCTCTTATAACATCAGTACTGCATGTATAATATAGCTATATGTATGAAGAGCTTAATAAACACCACAACGGAAAAAAGGGGAGAATAGGTCAATTTTACGGCAATAGTATATCTATTCGTACTGAGGCCTTGGAGACATGGTTACCTGCAATATCCCGGCCTAGGAGTATCGTTTATAGAGACTAGCTGTAGTTACACTATAGCCCGTCCTAAATTTGCGCTATCTTCTTACTTGTCGCCTCTCTTTTCTTTCTTCGGAATCCGAAATTCCAATTCAATCGGAATCCGAACAATTATCCGATCTATTACTTTCGTCTTGGTGACATGTCGCTGGAAGCAGCACTTGCTTAGTCGGCTACATTTGCGAGAGTTGATCGTCGTCTCGTCTGAGCCTGTCAAGAATGTCGCTGTGAATTTCGGACGTGCGGCTGCCTTCGTTGATTGACTTGGCTACCCAAGTTATACTTCGAGGCTCTCCCTAGACCCTCCTGCTGATGCGAGGTTGTTTGAGCTGCTCCTCGTTTCTATCGGGCTCCTCCATGCTACTGTCGGTAGCGTCTGTGCTTTCCCTCCACCTGCTGCACGCGTACGTTCAGTGTAGCATCAGCGCTCCCCTCGTGCATAGAGTACCGAAGTAGATGACTCCACGGTGGCATGACAACGAGCCTGCTTGTTCTACACAATCCTCATGCTCTGTACATTAACTTGCGACTGTCAGTGTTTTGTACCCGCATTGTACAACCATCATTCTGCAGGTCATTTTATTGTTCTAGTTTTTATAGTTTCCAAAGGATGCGAAGTGAAAGACAAACGCGAAAAAAAAAAATAATAATTAACAAAAAAAATATTTTAAAAACATAAATTTTGGATTCAAATTCATTCAATATTGTAAGATCGACTTGCTACGATGCTTTACGCTGTCTGCAGCGCACACACTTCGTGTTTTACGCTACGCACTAAAGCATTTTCACGGTAGTCATTAACGTTATGGGCAGTGCAGTGGCTATGGTAGAACCAGCCGTGCGTGTCTTGCCAACGTGCGATCACATTCGGACTACTCTAATGCTTCGTCCCCCCTCCTCAGCTGTCAGCGCTGATAACGCAAACGGCCGCAAACGTCTTCGGCTCGCGCGCTCCTCTCGCCGGCGCGTGTACGTGACGGCGCAACTTCCGGAACCTTGTAGTTTTCCATAGACTGAAGGCACAGGCACTTGAAATCGTTTCAATTAGAATCTATAATGCTAACTAAATACACTCGCTGTAGTTCAACGATTTAAAAGAAATACTCATCCAACAGTCCGCCTTAAATTGATATTACTTAGTACAAAATTCTTAATTGTTTCTATACTATAGCCGGTATACTAGCTAGGCCTACTCTGTTTCACCTACGGATATTGAAAAAGTTATTGCGCAAACCGTTAAATCGCAGAAAATCGTCTTTGCAGCGAGTTAATTCTTAACATGTTGTTAGACCTTCAACGCCCGCACTGAATTCTGCCTCGCTGGCAGCACATACGCCGCTGCCTGCGACGGCGTGCCAAGCACCGGCCAGCGCGTTTTTTATTGCCAGAGACGTCTAGTGGGAATTCTCAGTCTAAAACAACTTCAATCAACGGGTCTTAGCCAATCGAACCGCAGTAGCGAACCCCACATGGCTACGAGAATTAAAAAGCCGACCGTCACGATCACATAGACTCGCCTACGTACGCGACCTTAACTCGGCCAATTACATCCTTCGCTACACTAAATTATAGTTACCAGAGTGGGAACTCTCCACGGACCAGTCTAAGCGCTACTCGCCATTCCTTGCTGTGGAAAATTCTCATGAAAATCCCGAAGAGAGCCTCGTCGCCGACCATCTATGGGACGCCATATGTACGAGAATAGTTCAGGGCNTATAATATGGGATTTAATTTTTCAGCCGCTCACCTAGCGTGTGGCCGACTGCAGAACCGATGGCGACGCCAGCAGCAGTCGTTGCCATCTGCGCCATCATTCCTGGTTGCTTGGGTTGCTGCATCATCGGCTGTGGCTGCACCGGCGGCCTTGGTGCAGGCACAGATGACCTGTGCATTCAGAAAAGCAGCCTAGGTAGTACCGTTGAACGGTCAATCACTGCAAATGCTCGAAATCTGGATTGAATATAGCCTTATAGGATGGTAACATCCCAGTTGGCCTACTCCCATTTCGCCTACGTCCCATTTCGCCTATACCTATTTCGACTACGTCCCATTTCACCTACTCTCCTAGGATTGGTCCTAGGACCACTACTGTTCCTGGTATATATGTAAACGATATCCCGGACATAGCGATTTGTGATATGAAATTGTTTGCGGATGATACAAAAATTTCGAAATCTATATCGACAACTACGGACTGCATGCTACTGCAGCATGATCTAAATATGATGTGTGAATGGTCAAGGAATTGGCTATTAAAGTTTCACGTCGGGAAGTGCAAACGGATGCATTTAGGAGGAAATAACGAACAGTTTGAGTACTCAATGACCGATGAGGCTGGGACAAGAAGAGTGTTAGATGAGATCACTGAAGAAAAAGACCTTGGGATATGGATAAATAGCAACCTAAAACCCACTCTACAGTGTACCAGAGCAGCGAACAAAGCAATGGGGGTACTGAGATCGATCAAGAAAACATTCAATTACGTAGATAAAAGGTGTTTCCTTATCCTGTACAAGACGTTCATCAGACCCCACCTAGAGTACTGTGTGCAAGCCTGGTTACCCTACTATAATAAAGATATAGACCTGTTAGAAAAAGTGCAAAGGAGGGCAACCAAGCTAGTCCACTCTATACGTAACCTGGAATACGAGAGGAAATCAAATTCGAATTTGAGACTATAATCGATCGATTTTCGATTATAATCGATCATTGGGACATCACTAATAGCAAGTTTGGTAGCGCTAGGTCAATTTTGGGCCGAGTTATAGAGCGGAAGGAAAATATGATCAAGGTCAAGGTAAAGGTCAAATAAAAGTCGTAGTGACCTGGTTTTGGTAGCACTAGGTCAATTAGGGGCCGAGTTAGAGAGCGGAAGGGAAATATGATCAAGGTCAAGGTAAAGGTCAAATAAAGGTCGCAGTGACCTGGTTTTGAAACGCTGCTCACCTTCTCCCCAAGATGTGTAAGTATACCAAGTTTGGTAGCGCTAGGTCAATTAGGGGCCGAGTTAGAGAGCGGAAGGAAAATATGATCAAGTACAAGGTAAAGGTCAAATAAAGGTCGCAGTGACCTGGTTTTGGTAGAGTCCCTATATACAGAGAGTTGCGCCATGACGAGTCGGAAAAAATCGGTCACGTGATCGCTGCCGGCATGTTGTTTTCAAATGGATCAACACCGCTGCCGCTTAAGTACAGCGCTGTATGGATACGCTGTACAATGGTCCATAGTAATTAATTAGACTAATCGTGCTTCAATAAACTCAAGATTTACAGAGATTATAGCTAAGACATGTGTCTATGTGTAGCTAGATTTATAGAACTGCAAAACAAATATTACAGCTGCGAGCGAGTGGAGAGTGGAACGCATTTATCTTGTGAATTACAGTTGTCATGAAATGACTAGCTGCTGTGTTTACACTAAGAAAGTGTACAATTAAGCTATCATATGGCGCGAACGATTTGAGTTACTTTTCTAGAAATCTAGATACATATAAACACATGTGTTATCTATGATCTCTGTGATTCTTGAGTTTATTGAAGCGCG